CACCCACGCCCCCGGTGCCCTGGGAAGAAGGCGACCCTCGCGCGCGCCGCCCTCCTCCCCGGCTGGTGCTGTCTTCTCCGTACGACTGTGAGCTCCAGAGTGAGACGCCCACGAGCCCACCCAGTGACTCAGAGGTCGCAAACTCGTGTCCGTAGGGGCCAGAGAGATCTTGGCAGTGAGCGCGGGCATGGACCCAGGCCCATCCGGAGGGAAGCCGGGATTCTGCTCCAGCTGATCCGTGCAACGGGGGCATGGGGCTGGTGGCCCCACCTTCCCAGGGAGACCGAGCTCAAGACTGCAATATGGAAGCCCCCTGATTTTCAAATGTGTAACCCAAATCGTGGCTGTGCGCTTCATCCGATTTCAGGCCCCCAAGTAGCAACTCTTCCACAATAATGACAGCCGCAAACAAAAAGGGCTCTTGCAAAGCACTTTATATAGATACATCGGCGTATCTGACTCTCAAAACAGCTCTAGGAGGTAGGTGCTAAATGCGGAAACCAAGGCACCAAAAGGCAAAGGCTCATCCAGAGCCACACAGCTGGAAGTGGCAGCAGCAGAATGGGAACCCAGGCAGCCTGGCTCCTGGCCCTGCCATTCCCCCTCTGCCATCTAGAAGATGCTACTGGTGGCCCACTGAGCCACTGGGGGGGATGCCTGCTGCTGAGGGTTCACATCTGTGCTGTCTCTGGAAGCTTCCCTTGGCTACTGGAAGGTACCCTGCCCTGGAGATAAGTGCATGGGAAGTTACTCACCCCTCTCTGGCCTCCTCATCTGGGAGCCAACCGATGGTGTGGGCACACCGTGGTACTGTGGGCTCTGCCTGGAGCTCTTTGCGGGTCCTGCTGAGGCTGGACTTCCTCTGAAGCCACCTCCTTGCCCAGCTGCTCCCTCCCCTCCCCTGCTTCCCTCACTCCCTTGCCGAAGCCTCATTCCAGACTCTGCTTCCGACAAACCTGAACTAAGGCAGCCTGTTTGCCCAGAGGATGACCCAGAAGCTGGCACAACCTCGAGCCAAGAAATGCGGTAGGCTGCGGGGAGTTTATTTCTGCCCCCAGCCCAAGGCGACAGAGCCCTCACCTGCCCTGCCACCCCCATACTGGGCCCAAGCAGCCTCAGGTGAGCGCACACACATCCACCGTGGTTGGCTCCTCTCGGGTGAAGCCGTCACTGAAGCCCTCATCATCCACCAGGTCGGGCTCACAGCGGCACATGGGACAGAGGCGGTTGCGCACAGCAGAGGCTCGGAGCCAGACGACGAGGTTCCAACGCTCACCAGTGCCCAAAGGCCGGGCCCCATGTAGCTGGCCGCCACGGTGGAGAACACCCTGGCCCACCACGTGCTCCACCTCCAGGGGCTCCGTCAGGGCTGTGGGTGCCTGCAGATGGCACGGGCACGGCTCAGGCCTGGGCACTCACAGCTGCCCCAGGTCCTGCCGCATGGGTCGCACACTCACCTGGAAGAGGCCCCCAAAATACAGGGCGCCCCCTGTGAAGACCTTGCCCAAGGCCACATTGAGGGTGAGCTCGGCATTATCATAGTGGCAGCCCAGCTCGAGGTCCTGGCCCAGTGCGTATTTGACCACAAAGGCCCGGTGGCTGTCGAGCCGGCCCCCGCCACAGTCGGGGTACAGCAGGGCCATCAGCGGCTGCAGGAAGCGCTCCCGCAGTGGTGTCATCAGCGGCTCGTCCAGTCCGAGCTCGTGCAGCAGCACCTGGGAGGGGATTCCTGGGGTCAGCAAGGAAACTAGGGGGCTGCAACCCTGGGGTTCCACTCCGCCGTGATCCCACTGTGACCTTTCGCAGCCCAGGCAGGCAGCCCATCTGCAGCACCTCCAACACTGCCTCCTGACCTCAGCCACCCCCTCCTCTGCCACTGGCCAGGCCTCACCCACCCCGTAGTTGTTCATGGTGTTGGGCCTCCCCTTAGGCATGTCCGACTGCTCGAAGTGCTCCAGCTCTTCCAGCAGGGCCTGGCAGAAGGGTGCTGTGAACACAGGCACCCGGTAGATGCGCTTCTCCCCTGTGGAAGGAGGGATGGTCTGTTGGCCTGAATGTGGCTGTGGGCCGGCCAAGCCTGGGCTTCAGTCTTCCCATGAACCATGTTGAGTCTGGGCGTGTCTGTTCACTCCCCCAAGCCTCAGTTTCATCACCTGTGCCATGGGGATAAGGCCCTCGCTTTTCAGGGCTGTTGTGATGACTGAAGTAACATGAGGAGCAGGGGAGGCTGATTCCCATGCCCCCCTACTTATGCCCGGAACCATTCCCCAGACTCCACAAGTGTCCACAGGGCTGGCCCTGGGAGCTCCCATATGGGTCCTGAGGCCCATAGAGGGAAAGGAAGTAGCCCAGCGACACCCGGCAGCCCAGTGACGGCCAAGCTGGGATCACAGAGCCAACTTCAGGCTCTCTGCACCTCCTTTCACCTGATGAGCCACCGAGGTCTGTACCCCAACTCAGAAGTGGCTCTGGGAGCCTCTGTCCCCCAGCAGGAAGGCCAGGAGGGGCTGTTCTTTCTTGCTGGGCCCTGGAGGGGGAAGAAGCCAGGCTGAGAATGGAAACCTAAACATTTCTTGGCAGATGCACCAGTGCCCAGGGGTGCAGGGCTAGTGTGCCCCTGATGGGGCCACCTCGCAGCCTGGGCCCTGCCCCAGCCAACAGCCTCAGCACAATCTCAGCTGCCGGGGAGTGGAAGGCAATGAGGAGAGCACCCCCAGGCTGGGAGGAGGAGAGTTCCTTCCACGCATGCCCCCTAACAAAGCACAGCCTCCATGAGGGGAAACATATCTGTCTCCCACAGGAGCCCCCAGCCCAGGCTATCAGTGCCAGTAAGAGGAAACACTTTCCAAACACTAGGTACGGGCCTGTGTCAGGCACTCTATGTAGATTAACTCACTTGATCATCACGGTGCCTTAAGAGAGGGGGTTACTGTTGCTCCCATTTTACAGATGAGGAAACTGAGTCACAGAGGTTAAACAATACGCAAACCTCCCTTGCCCAGCATTTCCTGCTGGGTTTAGCCAATAAGTGAGCCCAGCAGGAAATCCAAAGGTAAGAGGAGAAATGGGGCATTTTTTGCCCTACTTGGAGTCTGGCATGGCTCCAGGCCTCTGCCCAGAGCCACAACTCCAGGTGGTAACTGCTCCCTCCCGTTGCCAGCCCTGGGGGGCGGGGCTTTGCCATTCCTTACTGGTCCCTTTACCCTGCCCACACCTGTCTCAGTGGTCCCTTTAAGATCTTGGATTGGCCGGGCGCGGTGGCTCAAGCCTGTAATCCCAGCACTTTGGGAGGCCGAGACGGGCAGATCACGAGGTCAGGAGATCAAGACCATCCTGGCT